GGCACCGACGTGCCCCAAGGTAAAAGACTTCTGGGAAAGGATTTATAATGAATTGAAAAAAGTGTTGAAAAACACATTTATTAAAAAACCAGAAGCCTTTTTACTTGGTATAGTGGGGGTGAAATCCCCAAAAAGGATGTTACTTTTTTTCTGTGTGCCACAACAGGTGCGAGAATATTGTTAGCAAAGAATTGGAAGAAACGAGATTTACCAGCTATTGAAGAATGGCAGATGAAGATTATGGACTATATGGAACTTGCCAAACTGACCGGGAGATCCCGAGACTAGAGAGAAGAGACGGTGGAAGAAGACTGGAAGAAGTTTAAGGAATATTTGGAAAAATATGTTAATATTTAAATATTAGAATAGCTTTGGAAGTGGATATAGGCTGTAGGGTTAGAAGTAGAAGATAGGGTATTTTAAAACAGTATTATTTGTACGTGATAAAATGTGAAGTTATTTTAAGTGTGATAAACAAAAAAGATGGTTAGAAATTATGATATATCTAAACTGCTAAAGATGAAGTAAAATGAAAATCAGATAGGTGGGACTTGGGGAAGCCCACTTAACAATGTTTAGAAAAATAAGGATATGACAAGAATTTGTTTGTTTTGTTTGTCTTTTCTGTTTGTGTTTTTTATTTGTGTTATAAAATGAGCAATTTTTTTTTGAAAAAAAATACTGAAATTTGCCAGGCACCAGACAGATGTGTAGGAAGGTCAGGTGGTACCCGGTGCGGAAAATTTCTTGTCACCCCCCCAAATTGATTTATTATTATTATTATTTGCCTGCAAAAGGCGAAGGCAAGGCAAGGCCTAATCTACTCGGCCTAGTCTCATTTTACTCACATAGGCCGACTTTCCAGGACCCGGGAAGCCCAGCGGAGGGTAGGGCAGTAGAGCGGTTCATAAAAAACTTTTTTTTGAAAATGCCTGTTCCAAAGGTCTTATCTTACTAAACTAGGGATTATATAGCTATATCTGAAATTTCACGCATATTAGTTAATATCTTGACCCTGCTCCACTGAATTGAAATTTCAGCCTTCACGACATAGGAAAACGGCCAAGTAAACAGCTGTTTTCGTGGAGGAGGGCCAAGTTATTAACTGATATGCATGAAATTTCATATATAGCTATATAATCCCTAGTGTAGTAAGATAAGACCTTTGGAGCAGGCATTTTTAAAAAAAATAAATAAATGATGAACCGCCCTAATAGGGCAGTAATTGTTCCTTGATAATTTGTCACCCCCCTCCACGGTGGCACCTGGGGTGACCTGCCCCCACCCCCCCTTTCCTACCCCCCTGGCACCAAGTGAAGAAGCCCAGGTGCCAGGAGGTGCATTCCCAGGAATCCTTGATCTTGCTTGTGTTCACACACTAACACCACATCCTGTAGAATTCTATCCATTATGTTTTATCTGCACAATCAGAACGGATTTCCAGAACCAAAAAAGCCATGTTGGAAAATACGACTTTCGAGCCGCCCGGCCCCAAAATGGCAACTAGACCTTCCATTTTGGTGACTGTAACCCTGGTTTGAGGAGCCATTTGGTGTCTAGCTTACAGATCTGAATTTCTAACACTGGAGCCACATTGATGCATTTGGTTTGGGCTGTGTCAGGGAACTGACATCGGAGCTAGAGGTGGAGGGAAGGCTCTCTAATGATGCTGGAGAAGGGCCCAGCAGGGAGAGAGGCAGCTCAGCAGATGGTGAAGCTATTCAGTGCAACACCAGGAATAAGGAGGAGCAGATGGGGGAATCGGCGAGAGGGCTCCCAGACTCTTCACCAGACACCAGCGGGGAGAGCACTGGTCCTCCGCTACCCACGCCCTCCCTGCGCAGAAGACTTCCGCGCAGAGAAAGTAGGAGGAGACTGGGTGTCAAACAACTTTTATGTTGGAAAAGGTTTAAGAAACGCCCACTGACGGATTCTGCTAGCGACTGAGGCAGCCACGAATTGAAGGGCTGTCCAGACAGAAAGGTTTAACAAGGCAACATAGCCAGGAGAGGCGGCAACTTACGCACGAGCAACCCCATACCATTATAGGCTGTTTGTTGCACAACAGCTTAAATCAACAGCAAGCTTCCTGTGGCGTGGTGGGAATCAGCAACCAAACGCTTTCTCCGAGTTGCCATTTCTTCTTTCCTCGAGCGTGTCCAAGCCAAGGACCATTTTAGGAGAACAGCAGACAAGGAAACTCTGTTCTCTCGTTCCCAGGGACAACTCCGGAAGGAAAATGGTCCCAGGGGACATAGCCTTCTTGGCATTCGAAAGACACTTCTGTGTGAATCCAAAGTTTGCTTCTCATTCAACAGCTGTGAAGGAAGCGGACGATAGATATCTGCATGGTGTAAACCCAATGAGCCAGAATTGCACAAGCTCAAGCTTAGTTGTGATAACGTCTTGGTGTCGACAAGCCTTTGATGTCACAACACAGCCTTAAACTCATTGCTTTGTTTAAGTTGCTGTCTGTCCGTCTTTGCTTCCATGTAAGCAGAAGAGTGGCTTCGAAGCTGGAGCACATTTGCTCAAGTCAATGATGCTTGCTGCTCAAGTGTCAGGCTGTCAGCTGTCCAAAGTTCAAAATGCTTGGAAACACATCTTGTTTCCTAGGGAACTTCTCTGCCTTCAGGGGTTTTTTTCAAGGCACTCAGGGGATGTTTCGTGAGAATTACTTTGCATTCAAAGGCAATCAGGGCATAAAAGTTGAATTGGCTCCTCCCACCCCACTAACCGGAAATGTTCTTGATGTAGAACTCCAATTATGGATGGCACCAAACAGATTTGCTTTCTTTCCATCTTCCCCTGTTAAATTTAAACTCCTTTATTTCTGGGACAGGATTTCCTTTTCCATATCTGATCCTCACACCCAACCCTTTGCCTTCCTTAAGGAGGGAGAAAGCCAAATCTATCAAATTTGCCATTTCCAAAACAACATGTGAATTTTGTGAACAAGCTTGAATTTTGCAGTGCGGTTCTCCGCAAAAAATGCATTCACAAAAATAAAATAAAATATCAATTTATTAGGAGAACCTGTGCATCTGAAAACTAACCATCTCACTAAACCATTTATCTTGCAATAAGCCTATTTGCATGTGAAATACCTTCAAATGAAAATACCATATGATTTCTTACTTAGCATATATTAAAAGGATATTATAGTTATTTCTGCATGGATTGATAAACACAAATGACAAATAATTGTGTGGAGTCATTAAGTGTATTTTTGTCACATCAGGACGATAATATCTGTTTCCAAGTCTGCTTCCCCCGTTTCCTTTAGGTATTTTTTAAAAAGCAATTATGTAAATCGTGAAATTTGTTAATTGCTTTGTATTTAGAGGCTTCTCATTATCCGAGGTCCTAAGTTGACGCTTCCTTTGCTTGTGCATAAATCCAATGCTGTTGGCAGGTTGTGGCTCATGTTCTGCGAAAAGTATGGCTTCTGTTGAAAATTCGTTGTTAACCAAAGGAAGTGAAGTGGCAGAATGAACTATGCCACCTCAGAAAAGGGCAGGGCAGAGCAGAATATATACAATTTTTTAATTCTTCCCCATGTGGGGCATGAATTGCCTTCAAGTATGAAACTAGAACATCAGAAAGAGCTGTTCTAACCCCGTTTGCTCCTGACAGTTAGATCGCAACTTTTACACCACAAGAAAATGACAAAAGAGAACACACATTTGCTTACATTTTGCACATTTCCCCCAACATTTTTTAAAATTGATTTTCATACAATTTAACAAATTCAATTCGGTTTACATACAGTATCCCCTTAACGTTTTGCCTTCCCATCCTTACTTCCATGATGTTTCTGTTCAAATCCTTTATCTACTGCCGTAAATGTAATACTTATTTCTATAAAATATATCCCGTGTTGCATTCCTTTATCATTCTCATTCCTTTGCTTATTTTTCTAGTCCTGCCAGCGATTTCATTTGACTATGATATTTTCTCAGATCGGAAAGGGTCTCCACTCTTCCACAAATGTTTCATCTTGTTGGTCTTGTATTTTCGCCTTCAATTTCGCCACCTCCATGTAGTCCAATAGTTTTAAAGTCCACTCCTCTTTTAAATTTTGCATGTTATGATTTACATAGGCTTAAGAACCGATCACCAAATAATTGATGCTTTTGAATTACGATGCTGGAGGAGACTCTTGAGAGTCCCATGGAAGTATTTTACAGGGCAGCGTTCAAAAGCGACATCCACTGAGGTGGAAGGCTCACAGGCTATGAAGGACTTGCTCAGAAATTTATTGACAGCTGCACAAATTATGATAGCTAGGAAGTGGAAGGGGCAAGCAGAATAGAAAGTGGAAGAATGGTATAAAGAGGTGTGGGATATAGCTATTAATGATAAATTAGCATGTGCCATTAAGGTAAAATGGGGGAATATGCAAGAGAAATGATTTTGAGGAGAAATTTGTACTGTTAAAACGGAAAGCGGTCAAACCATCGCAAGAGGTGTTGAAATTTTGGGAGGTTACAATGGAATGGTCTCGGTGGTGGGGTGCACATTGTTATTCTTATTTGCTTACGATTTGTCAAAATAAAATAAAATAAAATAAATACGACTTCTACAACCCGTTCCAAACCGTGCTTACCAGCTTTGGCAGACACATTTTTTTTTTGTTTTTAAATATTCATGTTTCAACAAGAATGATTATGAAATAAAATATTTTCGTCAGCAGAGTGTGTGACTGGCCATCGCTGCACAACCACTGATTGCACAAAAGTGTGACAGACACGCAATTCCATTCCTCCCCCCTTTTAAGAAAGCATTTCCCCAACTGATTCATGAAAACTGACAGTGCTTTCTTGTGTATTGTGCAATGAAGCGCATATGTTTCCCCGCTGCCCATTTTATTTCTTTCTCTGGATCCATATTTAATGCCCCGTTGTAACCATTTAGAACGTCATTATATCGGCTCTCAAACATGCACCCTGTGGCCTATTATCTTTCCACAATAATTTGTCACTGCTTTTTGAAGCCATCTAAGGCTTTGGAGGATCCATAGACCACCAATCGATTAGAGTTTGCAGGTCGCTGATTTCATTTCCCCCCTTTATTTGGTGCTGAAAGGATTGTTTTTCTTCCTTGGCTCTAGCGCAAGATGCGTACTTCTGTGTGTGCCGACACTGCTTATTATTAGCGGGACAACATGTGTATTTAAGGAGCTCCGGGAACGAAAATATCAATCTGAAAATGGAGACAGATACGAGAAGGTAAATGGCATTACTTTGTTGCAGCAAACGCACACACAAAAGAGGCACCAGGTGGAACAACGCGATGCATCAGGTGTGGGGAATCTTATTCGCCCGAAGGCTGCATTTTCCTTTCACATGCCAGCAGGAGTGGAGCTGGAGGCAAACTGGGAGGAGCAACTCATTTACATTTTACCTTTGTTATTTTCTTCACACACAGACACAAACCCTCTGTCCTCAGACCCACCAAGTGTCCCTGTTTTCCAGGGACAGTCCTGGATTTACAGAAGGCGTTTCTGATTTGATCTTGCAATGTCCCTCTTTTTCTTAAACATAAAGGGACCCCTGACCATTAGGTCCAGTTGTGACCGACTCTGGGGTTGCGGCGCTCATCTCGCTTTATTGGCCAAGGGAGCCGGCGTACACCTTCCGGGTCATGTGGCCAGCATGACTAAGCCGCTTCTGGCAAACCAGAGCAGTCCATGGAAACGCTGTTTACCTTCCCGCTGGAGCAGTACCTATTTATCTACTTGCACTTTGATGTGCTTTGGAACTGCTAGGTTGGCAGGAGCAGGGACCGAGCAACGGGAGCTCACCCCGTCGCGGGGATTTGAACCGCCAACCTTCTGATCAGAAAGTCCTAGGCTCTGTGGTTTAACCCACAGCGCCACCCACGTCCACTCCCTATTTTCACTGGAGAAATTTTGGAGGGTATGGAGTTATGCGACCCCCCGAGCCAAGGAGATAAGTAACGCTATGTCAGGCTTCAGGGAATCGACTTCCTCCCCCTGTGGGACAAGAAGACAAGAAGATCAAATGAAAGGAACACCTTACCAGTTAGAATCTTTAATAATCACAGTGAGAGACAAAAGAACACGTCTCCCTAGAAATGGCGGTGCTTCCATTTAAGGCTCACTCCCCCTTCCGTCCCTGTTAATCTACACCACTCCTACGTACTGCAGCCTGAGTTTGTACCCTCTGTGCTTTCTGTTCTGAGACTTTCTGAGCTCTTCTCAACTTTGGGGAAGGTGGTGGAGAAATGCTGTCCAACAACTGTGAATCTGTTAACCCTCTCTCTTCCAGTGTTTATTCTCCTAGCTGTTCTCCATCCAGTACTTCCCAGCTTCTGCCTTCTGAACTGTGCCCCTCTGCAAACCACTGTTCTAAATCTACGCTGTCCTCCTGTTCCTGGCAAGATTCAAGATCAGGGGGAGGGGGTGGCTCCCCACCATTCCTCCTCAGTGCAGCCCTCCTTAGCATGGTCCCTGACACTCTACAACCTTTAGAAGACATCTGAAGTCAGCCCTGTATAGGGAAGTTTTTAAATGTTTAATGCTTTATTATGTTTTTATATACAGTGGTGCCTCGGGTTACAGACGCTTCAGGTTACAGACGCTTCAGGTTACAGACACTGCTAACCCAGAAATATTACCTCGGGTTAAGAACTTTGCTTCAGGATGAGAACAGAAATCGTGAGGTGGTGGCGTGGTGGTAGCGGGAGGCCCCATTAGTTAAAGTGGTACCTCAGGTTAAGAACAGTTTCAGGTTAAGAACAGACATCCAGAACGAATTAAGTTCTTAACCTGAGGTACCATTGTATGTTGGAAGCTGCGCAGAGTGACTGGGGCAACTTAGTCAGATGGGTGGGGTATAAATAATAAATGATGATGATGATTAGTCAAAACGGAGAACTAGACTTAGGAGTTGGACCTTACAGGTGAAACCAATTACAGTGGAACCTTGGTTTTCGAGCATCTCGGAAGCAGAACGTTTCGGAACCCGAATGTTGAAAACCTGGAAGTAAATGCTTCCATTTTCGAACATGCCTCGGAAGTCGAATGAAGTTTTCAATTTTCTCAATGGAAATTGCTGTCAGCCCTTTGTGCCTCGGTTTTCAAATGTTTCGGAAGTCGAACAGTCGTCCGGAATGGATTACGTTCAAAAACCGAGGTTCCACTGCATTGAAAACCACTAACCCCGCCCCAACTCTTCCCCAATCCTCTGAATTATTATCGGCTCAATTTGGAGCCATTGATGGGCCTTTAAGTGCAACAAGGCTTGAAAAGGGAGGTTGCTATGCTATGCATCCTTGTTTTTAACATCCATTTTTAAAGAGTGTTATGGACATCGCTAAGTCCTTTCAAGCATCTGAAATAGTCTACAGGCAAGTATCCAACATGGTGCTGACTTGCCATTGATTTCATTAGGTCCCTAATGCATTATATGAGTGATTCGGCTCATACGGGAGCAGGCAGGAGTAATGCTTGCTTTGGGTTTTGCAAGAACAATCTTCCTCTCTTATTCATCTGTGTGCGCACACATCACTTAGCTGACAACTTAATCTCCTCTTTATACCTTTCGCATTGCGCAAGATTAGCCCTAATATAGCTCTTTATTGGCCTGACATGGATACACAATCTGATTTACAGGTGTAGGCTCAAGTTTTTAACTCCATCTGCCGAAAGTTATGCCAAGGGGTCACACGCTTACATAAATATTTAAGGACACATATTTACGAATGATGGATTTCAAATATAACTGTCCGTGTGTGATGGCCTGGGACTCGGGCTCAGGCTCGGAACCAGAGGAGACTCAGTCTGCACCGGATCCTTTGCCTCAGGCATCACCTGAAGCAAGTCTGGGGCCTGATCCTGAAGAGTCCCAGTCTGCACAGGTTCCACTGCAACAAACACCAGCTGGGCTGAGTCAGGGGCCTGAGCCTGCCCTGGCTCCAGATGCGGGGATTACCTCGTTGCCTTCAGCTGAGCCATCGCTTATAGCTGCTCCACTACTGGTTTGGTCAGGAGAGGCTGAGGTGGCCCCTGGGTCTAGTAACCCACCAACATCTCCCGAGCTGCAGAGACTAAGGTCTGAGAGAAGGAAAGACCTGAGTACTCTCAGGAGGAGTGCTCACCTTCGGGCAAAACAGGGAGGTGAGTCGCCGGGGGATCAGGACTGGCCACTACGCCAACGAAGATAAAAGGCTGTCGGACCCCGCCCCAGGTTGTGGGAGCAACATTGCTGTATGCTAGATCTTGCCTGAGATCCTGTACCTGTTCTTGCCCTTACCTGGTTTCCTGCCTCGTGTCCTGCCTTGGCCCTGTCGGACTGACTCATAGCGGAACCTTCAGATTCTGGACCGGTCCTAGACCGCGTTGCACGGGTTACCCCTGGGCCCAGCACACCGTCTAGGATAGTGGGTAGAGTGTGACAGACTAGGATCCGGGAGGCCCGGGTTCAAATCTCCACTCAGCCATGAAGTCCACTGGATGAGCTTGGGCCAGTCATTGCCTCTTAGCCTAATCTACCTCACAGGGCTGTTGTGGGGAGGTACCCCACCAAGGCACCTGAAAAATTTGGTTGCCATAAATATTAAATTAAAAGATGCCTGCTTCTTGAGAGAAAATCAATGACAAATGTAGACAGCATCTTAAAAAGCAGAGACATCACCTTGCCAACAAAGGTCCGTATAGTTAAAGCTATGGTTTTCCCAGTAGTGATGTATGGAAGTGAGAGCTGGACCATAAAGAAGGCTGATTGCCGAAAAATTGATGCTTTTGAATTCTGGTGCTGGAGGAGACTCTTGAGAGTCCCATGGACTGCAAGAAGATCAAACCTCCCCATTCTGAAGGAAATCAGCCCTGAGTGCTCACTGGAAGGACAGATCCTGAAGCTGAGGCTCCAATACTTTGGCCACCTCATGAGAAGAGAAGACTCCCTGGAAAAGACCCTGATGTTGGGAAAGATTGAGGGCACAAGCAGAAGGGGACGACAGAGGACAAGATGGTTGGACAGTGTTCTCGAAGCTACAAACATGAGTCTGACCAAACTGCGGGAGGCAGTGGAAGACAGGAGTGCCTGGTGTGCTCTGGTCCATGGGGTCATGAAGAGTCGGACACGACTAAACAACAAATATTGCTGTAGACATTTCTGAGACCATGGTCTTTCCGGCAAGTGGCTTTTGTCCAGCTTTGTTTATTGTCTTACTTTAAATGTTGTGAGAGTCCTATGCACTTTTAAAATGTGGGGTTTGAGGGTAGGGGGTTATTGGGTCGTTTTTACTTTGATTATATATATTGTGGTTTTATATTATGATTTTATTCTGTGAACCGCCCTGAGACTTCCGGGTATAGGGCGGTATATAAATTCAAGAAATATAAACAAAAATAAGACTTGCTCTCCTGAGAGAAAAAGGCGGGAGAGAAATACAATAAATCATATTAACCAGGTTTTTTCGGTCTGTTAAACTTGTGTCCTTGGGGTGTCTCCAGATGGTCACTATTTTGTGGAAGGGATGCAAGTACGTACCAAAATTTTAAGTCTGTGCAGTTAAATTGGATTCAGGCGCACACTAGAATTTTAGGTTTCCATAGTTAACAGTGGATTCAAGGGCTCTGTTGACAAATGCTCTTAAAAATAATAGTGAGACTTTCTGTGGTTTCAAAAGTGACGGTTTGAGGAGTGCTAACACAGCGCCAAATATTTTCAGGAGTGGTGGAGTCGTCGACTATAGATAAAGGTACAACTGAAGAAGAAGAATAACTTGTTGGCATCCATCTGTCTCGGATGACAATGGAGGAGTGTGTCTTTGCAGGTGAAGTCAAACCATTGGAGAGTTATAGTGCCTGCTGGGTCTGTAGAGACCGATATGGAAGAGACATGTTTTGTTGCAGCTGGGGCAGACAAAGGTGTCTGGTTGTGCTGGTGCAGATGCCTCATGGCGTTTCTTCTCTCTACACTCCTCCCAGCGGTCATTTCTCCTCTGGTCACTGCTGTGGGGAGGTTAAACATGCAGCAAAAAGTGCAGCTGAAACTTCCTTTGCTGCCATCATTGGGTAACGAGTTGCTGGAAGGCGAATAGCTATCCAGAAGCAAAATGACATTCCCTCCCCCCCCCCCCAGATAACAACAGTTTCTAGGAAGTTCTTTCAAAACAGATGTACTCGTATATATTTATCTGGTGAAGAGATTGCAAATCCTCCTTTCACGTACACC